AGTGTGTGTGTGTGTGAGTGTGTGTGTGTGTGTGAGAGAGAGTGTGTGTGTGTGTGATATGGTTTGAATAACGACTCTATTCTGGCTGCCACTCAAACAAACTGCACCTTTCACTGTACACTACATTACACGGGCCATTAATAAAGCAGAGAGAAAACTATGGCATTCAATCCCAGCATCCCCTGTTCACCGCTGCCAAGAGCTGAAGGCCATGCAGGAATAACCACACAAACTGTCTTTACACCATAAAACAACGAGTTCAGCCTCTGATGAGACAAAAAACATGCTGTAGTATCTGAGGAGACATATGAGTTTTCCAGATGAATCTTCGGGTGGTTTGGAGGCTCTGAGGAGACTAAAATGCATGTTTAGCTCTCTTATGACGGTGAAGGATCAGATCCACGTTTGGGATCTAGTTTATATCAGAGTTGAGGAAAAACGAATGGGAGAAATCACTCTACAAGGTACATTTCCATTAAAAGAGACAATCTTCTGACTTAGAACATGCTAGAAAAGACTCTTTTATCCAAGGCAATGTACAATTGAGAAACTGATAATAGTATCAGCTAAATAAAAGAAATGTAAACAAACATGCATGTGCAATTAGGTGCACTAAGCTCAAAAACAGTGACCTGGGCCGCTATATTTTGAAGAAAGATCCTGGTTCACACAAAGAATAATATATGAAATAAAAAATACAATAAAAATCTAAAATAAAATAAAATATTACTAAAAAAAAAAGTAAAAAATAAATACATAAATAAAAAGAAAACACAAAAAATAAAATAAAACTATATAAATCAAGTAAAATAAAAGAAATTAAAAGAAATTAAAGAAAAGAAAATGAAAAATACATGAAATACAAAACAAATATATAAAAAAAACAAAAAAATAAAATAAAGAAACATAAAATAAAATAATACATAAACATATAAAATAAAAAAAAAAGACAAGAAGATGAAAATGAAAAAAAAACAAGCAAGACAAAACAAAAATAAAAGCAGTGAAAAGGAAGCAGACAGTATGGAAGCAGTCCAGTTTAACCTGCAGATCCTGTCTTTAAAGAATGACCCTGTTTAATACAAAAAACAAGCAAACAAATAAATAAATATAATATAATAATAAAATAAAATAAGTTAAAAAAAATGAAGGCAACGAGAGCAAACAGTGCTCCATAGAGTGCAAAGGGTTGTGAAACACTAAATGTATTGCGTTCAATAAAATACAAAGTCTTGAGACTCTACTTTTGAAACAGTGCAGACTACTTAAAGTGATTACATAGTAACATCCTAAATAATTACATAATAAACTGGGATTTTAGCATGCAATGAACGACACAACAAAAGCTAAGTGAAAGTTATGTGACATGTGGTCAAGTACATTTCACCCATCCAAGTGAACACACACATACACACACACACACACACACCGTGAACACACCCGGAGCAATGGGCAGCCATGTGCAGCGCAGGTGAAACACTTTTAAAGCGCCCCTATAATGCCATTTCACTTTAATAACCAGCGTCCACATCAAAATCACCATGAGCTCAGAGATGCACTTCAACACGCTGAACACATGCAACGGCCCTCAACACTGCGACCAAACACACGACATGACCATGACAAGATGCTCTTCAAGAAGTGTGACGCTAACAACTGCTTCCTTTTCAAAATATGTGCCGTTCTGATCTAATAACGATGCTGCAGGGTGACTGTAATTTACTACATGAATTAAGTTAGCATTCAAATCCTGTTAGAGAAAGTAGGTGCTTCATCTGTTATTTCTGCAACACTACCGTTACCAAACCAAACAGCAAAAATAATGACTGCTTCTGTATGATTAGCTGGGACAGGAGAAACTGTTTTAACAATGACACACACACAACAAAAGCTAACAGGATGCTCCAGGGGTGTGACACTGACGGGACACGCTGGGAAAAATGCAGGAGGCGGAACAAAACTCCACATGAGCCAAAATCAACAGTCAGACGCATGACATGAAACTGAGACTTGTTTTCTGCACTGTATCGGTCACACACACACACACACACTGAAACACACACACTGAAACACACACACTAACTCAAACACACACACGCACACTAACTCTCACACACACACACACACAGACACACACTAACTCACACACTAATTCACACACTCAAACACACACTAACTCACACACACACACACACACTCAAATACACACCAACTCACACTCACACACACTAACTCACACACACAGACACACACACACACTTTTCACAATGCATGTACAACATACAATACAGTTCATTTGTTTTTATGTTAAGATAATAATGACTACAGAAAAATTAAATAAATACTACATAAAGAAATATAAAAAAACTAAATTAAAATATCAAAATAAAATATTAAATGAAAAATAAATTTCAAATAAAATATAATATTTAATAAAATACTCTAAAAATACACAAACACACATTTCACAATGTGTATGCAACCAAAAATACGTTTTTTTTGTTTTTACATTGCTGTTATATGAAGATAATTAAAATGACAGACCTATTACAACCCTAACCCTACAAAGAAAAAATAAAATAAAAAAAATAAAATATCAAAATAAAATCTAAAATAAAAATCCAAAATAAAATTTTAAACACAAACAACTAAAGTACAAAAAGCGTAAAATGCAATAAAAAATATAATAAAAATAAAATATATTTTATTGTATATGATTTTTATTTCATTTACTGTATTTTAGATGTTTTCTTTTTTCTATAAAAATATTAAGTGAAGTAAAATAATATAAAATAAAAAATATACATTAATATAACATTTAAAATGTAAACAGTACATCTAAAATAGGAAAAAAATAACTAAAATATTACATTTAATACATAAAATAAAGTTTACAGCTCTAATCAAACCCATGAGAACAGCAGAGATTCGACTACGAGCCCTGAAACTCATTTCAGCAAACAAGTTTGCTCATATCCTACACAAACACAAACAGATGTTTGATAACATCTCAGACAGACGGCGAGCCGCAGGCAGAATGAACCTGAGGAGGAAGAGGAACAGAGCAGGACAGTGAGCTGTTACTGTGCTTATAAACCTGCGTTTCCATCCTCTGACACACTGAAAACTATGCAGGGAAAATTACGTTTCCTTTCACAGTCCAAACCGCGAGGGCTGAACGACAACTAATATACACCAAATGACATTTCAAGAGATTCATTATCAGCTCCAGCGGGATCCAATGGAAATAGAGCCGCAAATAAAAACCTCATATATAACGGGATGAAATGTCTTGAAGCTGTGAGTGATAGATGTATGTTATTTCCCCTGTGTAAGTAAGTGTGCAGTTCATGACCAGAAAAAGCTGTAAAGTGAGCCAGACTGATCGTGTGGTAATCATTTGACTGATCATTTTTACCGATACTCACCTATATTTATATATATATTGTTTCATATAAGTTTATATATATATATATATATATATATATATATATATGTGTGTGTGTATGTGTGTGTGTGTGTGTTTTATTGCAGCTTTTTGATACAAATAAAGCAAAGACAACTAAATTTGCCACATTTAATATATAACATTTTTAAGAATATTTATTTAAAAAAATATTTGATGGAAACTTTTGAATTTATTTTAATTTCGATGATGTCATTGCACTAGAGCATCATTGTTTTTGTTAGTAGCTAATTGTGAAAAAAAAATAAATTAAAAAAACTAAATAAAAAAAAACTAAAATAAAATAAATGGAGAATTCCAAGAGGGTCCTTGCAAAATAAAATAACTTAATGGATCTATTCAATTTTGATGTTGTCATCGCAATAGAGCGTAATTGTTTTTGTTAGTAGCTATTAATAGTGTGGCATAATAAGATAAAATAAAACTTTAAAAAAAAATCAAAACTTGGATCAGTTTTTTATTTTGATGTTGTCATCATGACAGAGCATCACTGTTTATGTTAATAGCTAACAGTGTAGCTAAATCAAATAAACTTAAAGGACACCTTGAAATAGTCAAATCATTCAAAACAATATTGCTCGATCTCTAAAGCTTATCTGGTCAGAAGTGATTCTGCGAGACTGGTGGGGTTGGACGTGAGCAGAAAGAGTTTGTGGAAAAGGGAAAACAGCATCATACATGAGCTGACAGAGATGAGCAGCAAACACCTGATGAAGCCATCAGAGCGTCAGCTCAACAGGGACATGAACAGCTATGAGATTGAAACATCATATCTCGCTTCATGTGGAGTTTTCCAGATCGCTCCAAAATAAGCTGTGAGCCAAACGGCATCTGAGAGAGCCGCGTTATCTGCGTTTCAGCTCAGAGATTTGAGCGGCCGCGTTCCTGCTGTTTTCAGAAGAAGAAGAATCTGCACTTTAGAGTTTAAGAGCCTCCTGACGTGCCAGAAATCTCCCCTAAATAGAGAACACAGTGTAGGACGCACACAGACAGACTGGAGTGTACCAGCACCAATCAGCACTTATGCTTCCTGAATTATTTTACTCCATAACGCTGGAGAGCACGGATCAGTTTCAAGCCTTTAGCTGGAGAATGAATGTTTCTGCCAAAACAGGAGGGTCACCTCATAAAAACAGGTTATTAAAGTGATATGTTAGTGTGTGCTAATGGAACGATTATATAGTTCACATTTATGGAGAGTTAAAGCAGAAACTTCCAGGGGAAAAAAAATAAAAAATTAAATAAAATACAAAATAAATAAATAAAAGATTAATAAATAAAATAAACGATGAATAAATGAAAGAATAAAATTAAAAAATAAATAAAATAAAATAAAAAAATAAAA